ACTTTGGGAGGCCAGGGCGGGCGGATCGCTTGAACTCAGGAGTTCAAGACAAGCCTGGGCAACATGGCGAAACCCTGTCTTTACAAAATAAGTAAAAATTAGCCAGTTAGGTGTGGGTTTCCACCTGGGACTCCAGCTACTTGTGAAGCTGAGGTGAGAGGACTGCTTGAGCCCAGGAGGCAGAGGTTGCAGTGAGCCATGATTGTGCCATTGCACTCTAGCTCAGGCAACAGAGCAAGATCCTGTCTCAAAACACACACACACATATTTATCTTACGGTTTTGGAATTTAGAAATCTGACTCACGCCTCACTGGGCTCCAGTTGTCAGCAGGGCTGTGCTCTTTCTGGAGGCTCTGGGGGCATCCTTTTCTTTGGTCCTCGCAGCTCCAGAGGCAACCTCCACTACTTGGCTTGTGGAAGGAGCCCTTCCTCCACCCTCAAAGCCAGCAGCATTGTAACTCTCTGACCTGGCTTCAGCTGTCACATCTCCCTCCAGCTCACAACCAGAAAAGGTTCTGAGCTTTCAAGGACCCAACCACACCTAGACAGTCCAGGATCATTTTTCTATCTCAAGGTCTGCAGCCTTAACCACATCTGTGAAGTTTCATTTGCCAGGAAGGGGAACATATTCACAGGTCCAAGAATAAGGCTGTGGATGTCTCTCGGGGTCGTTATTTGCCGACCACAGGGAGAGTTTGTGAAAGACGGGCTGTCTTTAAATGTCTCAAATGATTTGTAATTAAAGTTATCTCAGCCTGACCTTCATGGAAACTTTAATTATACCTTGTCTTTTATTTTTCAGACAGAGTCTCACTCTGTTATCCAGGCTGGAGTGCAGTGGCACGATCTCGGCTCACCACAGTGGCCTCTGCCTCCCAGGTTCAAGCAATTCTCGTACCTCAGCCTCTGAGTAGCTGAGATTACAGGCATGCACCATTACACCCGGTTAATTTTTTATATTTTTAGTAGAGATGGGGTTTCGCCATGTTGGCCAGGCTGGTCTCAAATTCCTGGCGTGAAGTGAACCACCCCTCTCAGCCTCCCAAAGTGCTGGGATTACAGGCATGAGCCACCACAGCTGGCCTGCATTATCTTTGTTGTGAGATTTTCTATTAATTCTTACATTGACACATTAATTTTCTACACAAATTTGTCATTTCTTCTATATTTTCAAATGTATTGACAAGGTTTTAATGTCTACCACATTTGTAGTGATATCCTCTTTTTTACTCCATTTTTTTACTTTTGAAGAAAAAAACAGGTTTGCTGAGGTATTTACATAGCATAAATAATATTTTGGCTGGGCGCAGTGGCTCACGCCTGTAGTCCCAAAACTTTGGGAGGCCGAGGCAGGTGGATCACGAGGTCAGGAGTTCAAGACCAGCCTGTCCAATATGGTGAAACCCCGTCTCTACTAAAAATACAAAAATCAGCTGGGTGTGGTGGCATGCACCTGTAGCCCCAACTATTCAGGAGGCTGAGGCAGGAGAATCGCTTGAATCCAGGAGGTGGAGGTTGCAGTGAACCGAGATGATGCTACTGCACTCCAGCCTGGGCGACAGAGCAGGTCTCTGTCCAAAAAAAAAAAAAAAAAGATGAGTGCACAGTTCTGAGTGTTTACAAATATATGTAGCCATGTGACCACCACAATAAACACATGGGATGGAACGTTCTACCACCCCAAAAGGTTTCATGTGCACTTTGAAATCAACCTGTGAAGACTGGCAACCACAGCTTTTTGTTTTTTGAGGCGGATTCTCACTGTCACCCATGCTGGGGTGCAGTGGCACAATCTTGGCTAACTGCAACCTTGGTCTCCCAGGTTCAAGCAATTCTTCCGCCTCAGCCTCCCAGGTAGCTAAGACTACAAGCACATGCCACCATGCCGGGCTAATTTTTGTATTTTTACTACAGACGGGGTTTCATCACGCTGGCCAGGCTGGTCTTGAATACCTGACCTCAGGTGATCGCCCACCTTGCCTCCCAAAGTGCTGGGATTACAGGCGTGAGCCACCGCGCCCAGCACAACCAGTTTTGTCCCTGTAGTTGTGCTTTGGAAAAAATGTCACATAAATGAAGTCATGCTGTATGTAGCCTTCTGCGTCTGGCTTGAGAGCGTAATATGATTGGGATTCATCTGTGGTTTTCCACGCACCAGTAGCTTGTTCCTTTTCATTGTATGGATGAACCACAACTTGTTTGTGTGTTCACCAGTTGATGGACACTTGGGCTGTTTTGGGTTTTGGCAGATTATGAAGGCTGCCACAAACTTTTAGACAGGTCCTGGTGGGACAGGTATCTTCATTCCTCTTGAGTACACATCTAGGACTGGGATTGCTGGGTTGTATGGTGCTAAGCAAAACAAGTTCCCTTAGAGACATTTTTTCACTTTTTATTATTGATTTCTACCTTAACTGTATTATGATCAAGAATATAAAGGTATTGAGGCTTGCTTTACAGTAAAACATAGTCAACTCTATGTTCCACGTGTGCCTGAAGCATTCCCCGGGTGCACTGTTTTATCTGCGCTCACAAGGCCAAGGCTGTTGCATAGTTTCTTCAAGTCTCCCATATCTGCACTAATTTTCAGTCTGCTTGTCCTATCATTCACAAGCGGTATGTTTAAATCGCTCACTAAGTGGGGATCTGTATTTTCCTATATTCCCATCAATCTTTGCTCTAAATATGCTGAAGCTATTATTTTGTACATAGGGATGTATAGCTGAGAACTGCTATTTATTTTACAAGTTTTCTCTCATCTCTGGCAATGCTTTTGGCCTTAAAGTTATCTTAATATATTGAAAATATGGCCAGGCACAATGGCTCATGCCTGTATTTCTAACACTTTGGGAGGCTGAGGTGGGAGGATCACTTGAGGCCAGGAGTTTGAGACCAGCCTGGGTGAGACTCTGTCTCTACCAAAAAAGGAAAAAAAAAAAAAAATTAGTCAAGCATGGTGATGTGCCTAAGGCAGGAGGACTGTTGGAGACCAGGAGTTTGAGGCTGCAGTGAGCTATGACTGTGCCACTGCAAAACAGGTTGAGCAACACAGCAAGACCCTGTCAAGAAAAAAAAAAAAAAGCTACACATTAGCTTTTGGTTAAAATTTGCATGATGTACCTTTTCCCATCTTCTTTTAACCTTTCTGTTGTCTATAAAGACAAAGTTCTAGACTGTTCTCTTGTAAACTACATATAGCTGCTTTTTTAGGAAACTTATTTTAAAAAATTGAGCATGTAATCCAAGTACTTACTGATACATTTGGGTCTAAATCTACCATATTACTACATGTGTTCTGGTTGTCACACCTGTGCTATTTCCTGTAGTTTTTTTTTTTCCTGTATTAGCATTTTAAAACCAGTTTTCCTCCTATTAGCCTGGAAGTTACACACATCACCATGTTTCATGGTTACCTTAGAGATGGCGAGAAGCAATTCTGATTTACCTGTGTGACTGGGACTCTTAACCACTTCCCAGTTAATGCAAGAACCTGAGATCCCTCGATTTACCCCATTCCTAACTTTCTTGCCACTATTTTCTCATATTTTAATTCACTATGTATTTTCAAGTCCATAAGACGTTGTAATTGTTTTATACAGGCTATTCATTTGGATTTATCCATACAGCTACCATTTTCATGACTATACATTCCTTTCTACATCAGTATTGTTTAAACATACCTTACATGAGTCTATTGTATCTCCCTAAAGGGGTGGCCTGCCCCTGGCCCAGCTGCCCCTGCCTGCCAATATCTCCTTCCCATAAACCCTGGAGAACACCTAACCTTGTGAGGCCAAGCCTTTCAATGGCTCCCACTGCCTGCTGGACAGGATTTATAAACTCTTTCCTGACCCATTCCTTACCTGCTTCTGAAACCTGGCCCTTACCAGAGTCCCGCTCCTCGCTGGTACTCTGATTCTTTCATACTCTGGACAAACTGCTCCAGTCCTTCAGGACCAGTCACTTCCTTGGACAGCTCCTTGTGATCTGTGAGGAGAGGCAGACACCCTTTTGAGAGTGCCCTGCTCCAAACCCACTTGGTTGTCCAGCCTGCTCCAGCTGCTCCGTGATGCATGGATGGCCTGAATCATGTGTGTGTCCCCATTTCCTCGCCCAATAGGAACATAGGGCCTACACTGAGGTTATCCACAATATAGTGATAATAACCCCTGTAATGCTTTTTCCTTGTGTTGCTTTGAAGTTCAAATCCTAGTCTATGTGAAACAGCTTTAAAAGTTGGAGGGAGTATGTACCAGGATTAATGGCTGTTTCATAAGCTTAATGGGAAAAATTTTTAACAAAACATGAGTAGCTTTATTTTATTCCCAGGAGATTAATTTAAGCATCAGTGGATAATTCATTTTCTAATCATGTGCCTGATAATAAATTAGCTTTGTAATAAGAAGTCATTGTTAAAAATTTTTTTCTTTGTTGTTGAACTCTTTTAAAATAAAATCTTACACGAGACCCAAATATATGAAATAAATTTAAAATTCACATTGTGGTTGAAGCAGGAGTGAGGCTTTCTCACAGCAGTCATCAGCAGTACAAAACGACCGCCCTGCTGTTAAGTCCAGAGAGTCTTAGGCAGGTTTATTACGTTCTTTTCAACTAGAAACTTGAATAACTGTTTACCATTCCAACAACCCATCTCACATTTCGACGTACCTTCTTCAGAGTTAAGGAGAGCTGCTTTATAAACAGTGTGGTCAGATATAGCCACGCATGTAACAAACACTCCCGCAGAGTCATTGAGTCCCTCTGTGAACAGTCTGCTCAGCTGGCACTAAGTACTGTGGCGCGCTGGCCTGGCTCTGTACTTCAGGTCACCTACCCTCCAGGACTCCCTGCCTACCAGAACCCAGGTGTCACTGATCTTGCGAAGAAACTTCTGAGCTTGTTCTGTGACACATATAATTTACTGAATTTTTTAAGACTGAGAGATATCTGTGAATTTCAAACACAAAAATAAAATTTAAAGTGTCCAGATAAATTGTGTTATGCAAGGTTTTATTTACAACTTGGATGACTTTATGATTGCTCAGAATCTGACACAGACTAATAAGTTTTATTGTCTGAAAATACGCATAAAATACCTCATCTCCAAAATAATTCAAATGAGTAATTAAATGAATGTTTTGAAAATGACAGTTTTCAAAAAGGAAAATTAAACACATTTTAGTAAATATATATGTTTTATTTGTCAAGAGTAAATGTCAGTTTTATTTAGAATACTCAAGTACAAAAAATGAAAATTTATATATCTATGACTGTTAAGAAATGTTAGAAATCATTAAAATGTTCTGAGAATACTAGTAAGGCACTGAATGCAAATACCACCTGAAATATGAATTATGTGCATTTTCATATCTTTAATATTCAGATGTTCCTAGTTATTTTCTCAAAATGTATTTTTAATAAAATGATTCAACCTTATTATTTTTCCCCTGGAAGACAGAGTTTAAACAAGCATGTAATGAAAAGTTTTCCTAATAAAAACTGTGATACACTCATACTCAAAGGTACTTTATCATTAGGAAAAAAGAGTTTATATATTTGGATGTTTTAACTTTTAAAGATATTTTGTTCCACCACAGTAATACATCAGCCATAATAAGGCATAATAAAGCATGAAGTCATATTAAATAATTTGACATAAAAGCTTAAGATCGTATCACCAATTGGGTAACTGTATCAAAAATTTTTAAGTTCTATAAAACTATTAAGAGGTTAGAGTTTCAGCTCTATAATACATCCCAAAACATATTCCCCAAAATTTTTAGTATAAAAAAGGTTCACCTTGGAATATAAATGCAATCATATAGTCACGATATTAATGGGTTCTGTATTTTCAATGGCACTGACACTTTGCTCTTTGGTATAATGCACTGCAGTGACAATAGCTTGGTAGCAAGACAAAAGATTTAGATTCATCACAAAACAGCAACTTAAAAATTTCTAACAACAGTGAATATATATGAATATGTAGGTACAAGCTGAGTATCCCTTATCCAAAATGCTAGGGACCAGAAGTGTTTTGGATTTCAGATTCTGGAATATCTGCATATATACAATGGGACCTGACTAATTACATAATTCAGGTTTCACATCCACCTTATACATATAGCCTGAAAGTAATTTATATAACATTTTTAATAATTTTGTGCAAGAAACAAAATCCGTTTAAACTGAACCATCAGAAAGCAAAGGTGTCAGGTGGGGAATTTTCCACTTGTGGGGTCAAGTCAGTGCTCAGAAAGATTCAGATTTTGAAGCTTCTGGATTTCAGATTTTTGAATTAGAGATGCTCAACTTGTAGTATCATTCACTCTGGCTTATGTATTGACCTTGTACTTGAAAGTACTTTTCCATAAATATCAGTAACTGTGGCCGTTCACCAAATATAGAAGTGATAAAACAAATAAAAACAGCAAAATCAAAGCACACTTCTAGTTTTTTTTTAATAAAGTTTGCTTGTGATGATGACCTTCTGTGCTCTGGAACTTCTGTTTTACAAAAAATTGGAGCTGGAAAGAAAAAGAACCTTTTGATTGGTACACTTTGAAAGAAAACATTCAAGAAGTAAAAATTAGCAAATATGCACCTAGTATATTATAGGATATCTGGGTATGGGACTTTGAAAAAGCAAAGAAAAAACCAAAAACACCAAACCATATTTTCTTGAAGATAAATTCTTCTAGAGAGCTCTCAAAAAATACGGGTTTGGCCCTGATTTTGCAAACAACAGTAGGGTTCTCAAGTGGAGCAGGGAAATAATTTTTACAAGGTAAATGTAAATTATCTTTCATATAGGCGAAAAAATGGGAAATCTAATTTTAGTAACACTGGGTTAAGATGAAAGGAAAAAAAGTATTAATAAAAGAGCCATAAGCTTTAAAATTCAAAGCAGGTTGAAAAGCAGTAATAAATTTATAGTTTATCTTTTGAAATTCAATGCTTGAATAAAATACAGCTTTTATACTACTTATTCTTTTAAAAAGTAATTGCATGCCTACTATGTACCAGACAACTGCTCTAGGCTCTGGGGATGGCTATATCAATGAACAAGATAATGATCCATGCCCTTGCAGAGCTTACATTAAAAGATCATACATGCGAATTCCTTCTTCTTTTCCAAAAAAAAAAAAAAAAAAAAAAAACCCTGTAAAATATATATTTTTTTTTTTCCTGCCAAAGTCCTGTGGTTTACTTCTCCATGTTTAAAAATTTTTTTTTTTCCAATGGGCCAAGGTTATGTTTTATTATTTTAAAGTTGAGTTGCAATATTCTGAAAATGGGTCTGACATAGATGCAGTGAGAGCATTAAACTTTTTTTTTTTCTCTGTGGGGAACATGGGAGCATGCAATGCTGCTAGCACATTTTTTTTTTTAGTAAACTGAGGCAGAGTCCACCAAATGAGCATTCTGAACTTTTTTTTTTTTGATGAATTTCCTCAACAGCCAAATAGTTAAACCAACAGGTTTTTTTTTTTTGGGAGAAATAAAACAAGGGACACAAAGTACAGAAGGAAATTTTTTTTTTTGAAAAATAAACTTATTTTCTAAAACTTGGGTAATTGATTTTTTTTTTTTTTCCAAACCTACACGCCTTGTGATTATCATCCACATGCTACTTTTTTTTTTTTCCTTGCACTCTGGCCCTCTCTACCTTTCTCTGCATCTTTACGTCCACCACTGTTTTCACAAGTTCTGACATCAACGCACAGGAGTTCGAATTTTTTTTTTTTTTCCCTTATTAAAATAAAAATTCTCACAAAATCAGTATCATTTTTTTTTTTTCTAAAAAAATGAACCTAAGAATTAGTTTAATAAAATACTTTTTTTTTTTTTAATTCCCCAACAAAGGGCATAGCTTCATTTAGACATGAATTTTTTTTTTTCTCATGGTAGGTCAGCAGCCATTAGCTGTGTACTAGGGTTACGACTGGGCTATGAAATAAGAGCAGCCATTTTTCCCCCAGCTAACTGATCTTTTTTTTTTTGTGATGTATTTTTATTTTGTTCATTCATTCATTCTGGCAATTTTTTTTTTTATAACATGTGCCAGGTGCTGTTCTGGATGCTGGGGAAACCTTTTTTTTTTTGAGGGACAAGGTCTCTCCTCTCCAAGAGCTGACATTTAGTTTTTTTTTTTTGACAAAGCATAAGGAAGCAGAAGTAAGAAGCGCAAGGAAGTTTTTTTTTTTCAATGTGACAAGTGCGGGCAGGGCTGCCAAGGAGGGTGGCTTTTTTTTTTTCTTCTTACGGTCCTTGTCCTTCCTCAGGTTGCTGCCTGTTTTTTTTTTTTTCTGGCTGTGAAATATCTCGGAGGTAGCTTTCTTTTTAGAGTTTTTTTTTTTTTCTTCTTCCAAAAGTCTTCTCTTTTCTTCAAGTTTCATTTTTTTTTTTTTGTGAAGTCTCTTAAGGTGCTCAAATTTGGCCTGTAGCTGGAAACAAAAGTGCAATCCCCACTACTGACACAGCACGGAAGCAGAGGTACGCTTTTTTTTTTTGCAACACAAAGGCGGACCCCATAGCACAACACAGAATAACTTTTTTTTTTTAAATCTTCCTGAAGTCTCAGAAGTTCACAGTTCAAGGAAAAGTTTACATATGGAGTTCCCTTGGTAACTTTAATTTTAAATGAGTTCCCATTTTTTTTTTTTTTTAAATATAATAAAAATCACAGCTTTATGAACAAAACTGTTTTTAAAACACTGTGACCTTTTCCTAGAGTTTTTATTTTCTCAGTGTATATTTTTTTTTTTAAACTTCCTAAAGTCTCTTAAGTCCATGCTCAATAAAAATTTTTTTTTTTTAGTATAGAAAGAAATCACCAGAAAGGAAAAAAAACAACACTTTTTTTTTTTAAGTAAAATATGTGCAGTAAACAGTTATTGAAAACTGTACTTTTTTTTTTTACTGGAAAGCAAGTGTCAACTGTCAACTATGTCAAGAATGTTTTTTTTTTTTTCTATTTTTCCAGTCTTTCAATGTCTTGAGATCTAGGCTTTTTTTTTTTTTAAACTCAGAGAAAGTTTTACATATAAAAATATTCATCGTTTTTTTTTTTTCACTATCCAATAAAGATAAAGTCAAAGAATAAATGCTAAACACATCTGATGCAGCCGCAGGAGAGCAGAATGTGCAGGACTGTTGAGCTGATTTTTTTTTTTAAGCAGCAGATACAGGAAAGCTCTCTGACCTCCCTTTAGGTTTTTTTTTTTAGGATACAGATGTACAAAGACAAAAGGTATCCAGCTCCCTTTTTTTTTTTTGGAGAACAAAGGTTAACCAGCAAAGACAACTTCAGACCCTTTTGGGCCTAGAGACTGGTACCAGACAGCTCTACATTAACTAGCTTTACTGTTTTTTTTTTTTCTGCCAGCTATGTGCCTTCCTCCAAATTGCTGCCCCTAGTTTTTTTTTTTCCTTTTCCTTTGTCTTGTCATTTTTGTAAAAATTAACTGTTTTTTTTTTTTGATGCTATAGAAGGTAGAATGCAGTCACTTCTTTGAGAACTTTTTTTTTTTTGTATCACCCATGTATATGTGAAATACACATGCTAATAAATTTTTTTTTTTTTTGTTAATCTGAGAATAAGGGGTCATTCCAATTAAGAACTTTTTTTTTTTATTCTTCCCCTATACAACTGTTAAATGAGTTTCACAAAAGTTTTTTTTTTTACCACAAGAGATTTCTCTTAAGTGAAAAAAGCAGAAGAAATTTTTTTTTTTAGAATAAAATTCAGTAGTTTTGCATCTCCTTGGGGCTGAATTTTTTTTTTTAAACCATATAAAGGGAACAATGTCACCTTGGATGTCAATTTAGGGGCAGGTCTGTCTTTTACTTTATATTTTTCCACAATTTAAGGAATGCTTTTTTTTTTTCAAAGCTACGAAGGGTATAAAACTCTGGAACCTTACAAATTTTTTTTTTTTTTTAAAACAACTGGGATATACCAAAAGAAAAATTCTATCTAATGTTTTTACCATGATGGTTGGCACTGAGTAAGCACTCAATAAATATTACTTTTTTTTTTTAACAAAAAATAGGAAACTTATCTTGCTCCAACTGCCACCCTTTTTTTTTTTTTCTGTGCCCTGTGCTCTGTTATAGGTGCAAAAGAGAAATTTTTTTTTTTTATGTGCTGGGCTAACTGTGGAGCAGCGTCTCCCTGAGGATTTTTTTTTTTTTATGTCTTTTTTATTTTTATACCCCCAGCACAGCACACAATTTTTTTTTTTAAAGAATTCTAAACGATGTAGAAGAACTAGTAATGAGAAGTTTTTTTTTTTGAAGTTATGTGAAGTTCTGCATGCAAGTTCAAAGAGACAATTTTTTTTTTTGAATGTAGGTGGTCCTGGTTTAATTGTGGCTTACCTCAAATTTTTTTTTTTAGGGTCTTAAGCCAGCTCCATACAAATCAGCTGTGTGCTGTTTTTTTTTTTAACACAAAGACAGTGTCTAGAATCTACATTTTAAAAGATATTTTTTTTTTTGGTCCTCTGATCTGGTTAGGTAAATCTAACATTAACGTTTTTTTTTTTTTTAGAAACCTAGCATTCATGCAAACAAAGCAGGACTTGGTGTTTTTTTTTTTTTGACATAGCTGGGCGTGGTGGCTCATGGAGGTTTACAGGCATGAGCCACCGCACCTGGCTATGTCATCTTTTTCTAAGACACCTAGTTGTCTTTTTTTTTTTAGACCTTTGGGAGGCCAAGGCGGGTGGATTGCCTGAGCTCTTTTTTTTTTTACCAGGCTGGGCAACACGGTGAAACCCCGTTTCTACTAATTTTTTTTTTTTACCAGGTGTGGTGGTGTGCACCTGTACTCCCAGCTACTCGTTTTTTTTTTTTAGGAGAAATGCTTGAACCCGGGAGGCTGAGGTTGCAGTGTTTTTTTTTTTCGCCATTACACTCCAGCCTGGGCAACAGAGTGAGGCTCCATTTTTTTTTTTAAAAAGATGACATATAACATTTGAGGAAATATTTCACTGATTTTTTTTTTTTGAGGGAAGAAACCAGAGAGCTAAACTCTGGTCTAATAAATTTTTTTTTTTCCAAATACGGAACAGGTTGTCCTGTGAGCCAGCGAGCACCTTTTTTTTTTTGTATTCCAAGGGAAACAAGGTTAAAACAGATAATCGAATAAGGCCCTTCTAACCTAAGATGCTTTTATTCCAGAGGATGTCTTTTCAGAGATTTTTTTTTTTCTTAGTATTTGTTTATTTAAATGGTTCCTGCTTTTAAAAATTTTTTTTTTTAGGTACATGTGTGTGTTTAAAGGGCACGCTACCCAGATGTTTTTTTTTTTTGTGGCACAAACAGAGAGTGACAGTTTTCTGCACACGTGTGTTTTTTTTTTTTGGGAGAGGAGCAGGAGTGGGGCAAAGTCTGGAAAGGAAGTTTTTTTTTTTGGTTTCTATCACGTGACTAGAGATAGCTCTCTGGTTACTCAAATGGAGGTTGCGTACCTCATATGCATACTAAAATATCTTGAAAGGTCACTTTTTTTTTTTTACATCATTCATGAGGTTGACTAAAAATTTCCAGGAAAACTATAAAGAGGGAAACATTAAACAAGATGGTGGGGAGGTGTGAATGTGACTATTTTTTTTTTTGTGTGGCATTTCCAGCTCTGGCTATCAACAACTATTTCATTTTTTTTTTTTATGCATGCATGGTTCCATTATTCACTATGACAGGCAGTTATTTTTTTTTTTTTTTCAAATTCTCAAAAAATTAAAAACAAGGGATCTTTTGTGCTACCAATAGTCACCAATTCTCTTAAGATTAAGTCATCAATATGGTACGTTTTTTTTTTTTTTTCCATGGGGGATACGTTCCAAGACTCCAGGAGGATGCTTTTTTTTTTTGGTAGTACCATACCCTATGTTTTTCCCTATATATAGACACTTTTTTTTTTTTTAAGGCACAGTGTAAGAGACTAACAATAACAATTAATAATTTTTTTTTTTAATTATAACAATATATGTAATAAAAGTTATGCGAATGTGGTTTTTTTTTTTCTCTCTCTCTCAAAATATCTTATAGTAATATTTTCAGACCTTTTTTTTTTTCGGGTAACTGAAACCTGAGAAAGCCAAACTGAGGATAAAGTTTTTTTTTTTACAATGCTATACCTTTTGTAAACACTACTTTTAAGGACACTTTTTTTTTTTTCACTCAAAGATCCTTTTAAAAGTATCTTTTTTCTTTGGGTTTTTTTTTTTGGCGGATCATGTGAGGTCAGGGGTTCGAGACCAGCCTGACCAACATGGAGAAACCCCATCTCTACTAAAAACACAAAATTAGCCGGGCATGACGGCGCATGCCTATAACCCAGCTACTCGGGACGCTGAGGCAGGAGGATCGCCTGAACACAAGAGGCAGAGGTTGCGGTGGGCTGAGATTGCGCCACTGCAATTTTTTTTTTTACTTTTTTTTTTACTTTTTTTTTTTTGAGAGGGAGTCTCATTTTTTTTTTTAGGCTGGAGTGCAGTGGCATAATCTCGGCTCACCGCAACCTTTTTTTTTTTTGTTCAGGCGATTCTCCTGCCTCAGCCTCCCGAGTAGCTGTTTTTTTTTTTATGCGCCGCCATGCCCGGCTAATTTTTGTATTTTTAGTAGTTTTTTTTTTTCACCATATTGGCCAGGCTGGTCTTGAACTCCTGATCTCAATTTTTTTTTTTGCCTTGGCCTCCCAAAGTGCTAGGATTATAGGCATGAGCCTTTTTTTTTTTCCCCATTTTTAGAAATTAGAAATAAATACTAGGGAAAATATTTCACTCTGCTGAGCTAGCAGATGACTTCCATCTAAATTCTCTGTGGTCCTTTTTTTTTTTCCTGCCTAGAAGTTAGAGCCTTAGAGCCCAGTCTTTGTGTTCACTTAAAAATTCCCTCGACCAGGGTTCTCGGCTGCCCTCTGTGCAAACCTTTTTTTTTTTCCCTGTATTATAAGTCTCCTGTTCTCTTCATGTTCATGGTTGTAATGTAGCTGCATTTTTAAATTGCAAATTACTGAGCACACTTTTTGGATTTTTTTTTTTCATATATGTTAAATGAAAAAATTATCCCCAAGATATAGACTTTTTTTTTTTATTGGGTAGTAATAATAACTTAATGATGGTCATGTAACCTTTTTTTTTTTTATAAATGGTACTTTTTCTTAAAGTGGGGAGGGTATATAAGAAATCCATGTGTCACACACACATGCCTCATGAGTTCTTCTAGAATGTTGTCTTTTTTTTTTTAGGGAAGACAGAACGTCAACGATATTTGGAGACATCATTTTTTTTTTTTTTCTCCCCACTCTACTCATCTAATGTTCACACACTATTATCTTTTTTTTTTTTATTTTACTAACCTACATATAAAAATCTAGATTTATACAAAAGATAAGGGATATTTGTTTCACAACAATATTGGCAAGGACATATTTAAGTATTTTTTTTTTTTTATAGAATTAAATAATGTTCTGAGTGGTATCTTTTTATTTTTTTTTTTTTAAAACTAAGAGTCATGCTATATAAGAAACTCTTGAATAAATTTTTTTTTTTAAACATAATACCCATGTACAATATGTAATCTGTGATTGCATCCTGGTTCAAAAACAAAAACAGAAAAATCACCAAATAAAAAGGAACAATTTTTTTTTTTTTTCTTGGGACAATTGGGGAAATCTGAATAAGGACTGAAGATTTTTTTTTTTTATGGTATTCCTATTTTCCTAGGTAAGGGGAAGGACATAGGTATCCTACACTTTCACTTTTCTGGTGTTTGAACTTTTTCCAAATACAACATCAAAATTTGAATTATAAATAAATTAGTAAACTATTACTTTTACAAAACCATTTTTTTTTTTTTTCACTTACGCAGCAAGTACTGTAAGTGTATTTGAAATAATTTTTTTTTTTAACTGGATTACAGATTAACTCTTCAAGAAATCATGTATTTTCAAGAAAATAGCTTTACTCAAAACCTAAACTGCTGCTTGAGAACTAGAAGTTTTTTTTTTTATGGAAGTTCACTGGTGATTTTTTTTGGTGCCAGGACTACTTTTTTTTTTTCTAGACCAGGGGTCCCCAATCCCCAGGCCACAGACCAGTATTTTTTTTTTTCCTGTTAGGAACCACTGCACAGTATGGGGTGAGTGGCGGGTTTTTTTTTTTTATTGCCTGAACTCTGCCTCCTGTTAGATCTGTGGTGGCATTCGATTCCCACAGGAGAGCAAACCCTATTGCAAACTGCGCATGTGAGGGATTTTTTTTTTTCGCTCCGTATGAGAATCTAATGCCTGAGGATGTGAGGTGGTTTTTTTTTTTCCTGAAACCATCGCCCCTGGTCCGTGGAAAAATTGTCTTTTTTTTTTTTTTCCCTGGTGCCAAAAAGGTTGGGGACCACTGATCTAGACCATTTTTTTTTTTCCTGACAGACTGAGAGACTGGGTTCAAATGGGAAGTAAAGCTACTTCACAGCCTTCACAAATCCCCATTTCAGGGCAAACAACCACCCCAGTTTTTTTTTTTAAAGGCTTTATTAAGCCATAGTAAAAATGTTTATGGCTCATGGTTAAGACACTTCTCAGTAACCTAGTCCATTACGAGCCCTTGGTAAACCTTTTTTTTTTTAAGAATATTTGCTCAAAAGGCCAAAATTCTCTTTGGTCTCTTTTTTTTTTTTGAGATGACAAAGGGAAGGTCATCGTTTGGAAAGCATCACTTTTTTTTTTTTACGCTGTGTTGCCACTGTGGCTGTGAGGCCCACCACCTTCAGGAGTTGGCCTGTGGCAAATGTGGCTTACCCTGCCAGGCACAAGAAAACTTTTTTTTTTTTTTCTTCCTTTAGCCTTGGCACTAACAAAGACAAACCACCTTTTTTTTTTTTTAAATGAGGCACCTAAAAATTGTATACTGTGGATTCAAGTTTTTTTTTTTTTCATGAAAGAAAAATGTTTGCACCCAAGAGGGTAGCTGCTTTTTTTTTTTGTTCATTATAAGAATTTCAACGATTAGTCACTCCATAAATTTTTTTTTTTTAAAAAAAAAAAAAGAAGGCCAAAGTTTTCATTTAATTTCATTTTTTTTTTTTAAGTCAATATTCAAATACTATGTGTTGGAAAAACTACTCTTTTTTTTTTTAGTAGCCTACAAAAGCATCTCAAGCAAATTCTTGGAATAATTTTTTTTTTTTAATAGGACATCTAAAAAATAAATGCAAACCACATCAAACTTTTTTTTTTTCCTCTCTCTCAGCTTCTTTCAATATGGCTTCTTTCTCCTTTACTCGTTGCACAAACATCTGCTTCATTTCTTCTTCCTTCCTCTGACGTTCTTTTTTTTTTTCATGTCTTTTGGCTTCATAGGTCTCTTGAAGACTAAAAAGTTATTTGTGTTACTCTCCTGTTAAAAAGTGATATAGGCCGGGTATGGTGGCTCACGCCTGTAATCCTAATACTCTGGGAGGCCAAGGCAGGTGGATCACCTATTTTTTTTTTTTCAAGACCAGCCTGGCCAACATGGTGAAACCCTGTCTCTATTTTTTTTTTTAAACTGCTGGGCATGATGGCAGGTGCCTGTAATCCCAGCTTTTTTTTTTTTTGAGGTGAAAGAATTGCTTGAACCCAGGAGGCAGAGACTGTTTTTTTTTTTGAGCACGCCATTGCACTCCAGCCTGGGTGACAGAGCAAGATTTTTTTTTTTAAATAAAAAAAGTTATATAATTGGCCGTGCCTGGTGACTCTTTTTTTTTTTCCTAGCACTTTGGGAGGCTGAGGTGGGAGGATCACCTGAGTTTTTTTTTTTAAGACCAGCCTGGCCAATATCGTGAAACCCTGTCTCTATTTTTTTTTTTTTAAATTAGTCAGGCATGGTGGTGTGCACCTGTAGTCCCAGCTTTTTTTTTTTCTGAGGCAGGAGAATTGCTTGAGCCCAGGAGGTGGAGGCTTTTTTTTTTTTAGATCCCGCCACTGCATTCCAGCCTGGGCGACAGAGCGAGTTTTTTTTTTTAAAAAAAAAAAAAAAAAAAGTGATATAATAAACTTTAAAATTTTTTTTTTTTCACCTAATGACATTAACAGGTTCTTGAAAACTATAACTTTTTTTTTTTTTACATATAATTAAACCAATTTTTACTGTAGGGTAATTGATAGAAATAAGAATTAAGTTCCTATGGCATATTTCTGGTCACAAAAACACTATCTTTTTTTTTTTTAAAAACTCAAAACCTTCCTAATATTAAACATAGAAATAATTTTTTTTTTTATACACATTTAAGAAAAATTAAAAACAAGTAGGACAATTAATTATCCAATTTTTGGTGCATCAGTGAGTGATGGCAGTCATCGTAGTGGAGTTTTTTTTTTTGAATAAGTGTTTGCAAAGGGAAAACTGTAAAGATCATCTCTTTTTTTTTTTTAATTCAAAAACAAATAACAACAAATATGGCAGGCTCACTTTTTTTTTTTTCACCACATTGCTTACTGTCCTACATTTGTGTACTGTATACTTTTTTTTTTTTTATGTTACAATAATACGTATTCATTCATTCACTCTCCAATTTTTTTTTTTCAGTTCAGGGTCATGGATGGCTGGAGCCTATCCTGGAAGCTAAGTGGAAATCAGCCCTGGACAGCACGCCATTCCATTGCAGGGCACACTCTTTTTTTTTTTACCCAACTCAGTCTGGGACAATTTAGACATGCCATGAACTTTTTTTTTTTTGCTTTGGGATGAAGAACCCAGAGAAAACCTGTAGATACAGTTTTTTTTTTTCAACTCTACACAGACAGTGGCCATCATCAGGAATCAATTTTTTTTTTTTTTAATGTTATAACAAAATGACATTGAACAAAACATTGTTATTTTTTTTTTTTTCATACATCCCATGTTCGGCCTCATATATGTAACAGGTACCTTTTTTTTTTTACACATGGTAACCCAAAACATGAAATTTCCTATAGCATGATTTTTTTTTTTACCTGTGTTAGTGCTGATATGGAGTACTAGAGTCCTGAAGTCTCTGCTTAAGCAACTCCTTTACAAGAAATACCCTCGTTTCAGCCTAAACTTTTTTTTTTTTCAATCTCACTATGAGTAGAACTGGAATCACTATGTGTAGTTTTTTTTTTTTCCTGAGTCAACTTTCACTCTTCCCTTACCCTATCTCCCTATCTTATCACCAAGGTCCATTAGTTCAGCTTCTGAAGCTAAGCCTCTTAATTTTTTTTTTTTTCCATTTCTACAGATTATCTGATTACAGCCGAACCTGATCTTTTTTTTTTTCTGCCTTCACTACTGCAACAATCTCCTAATTCATCTCTGATTTTTTTTTTTCTCTTTCACTTTGTTCTTGTCACTCTCCAGATTTTCCACCTTTTTTTTTTTTCTCATTATCTTTTCTCACCACATTAAAGTTAGGTTATCTTTTTTTTTTTTTCCCACCTGCTTTAAATTGCACTCAAGAAACTTTGTATCTTTTTTTTTTTTACCTTTCCAGATTGATTTCTCACCAAACAATTCTGACACCCTCAGGTTTCAGTCACACCAATGAACAGCCACACCAGTTCACTGTTCCTAGTTTTTTTTTTTCATTTCAGGCTTCAATTTGTGGCCACTGTCCACTTTCTACTTTTTTTTTTTCCTGCTAATCCTCTGCCCCTCAAGGGCAAATTCACATACATTTTTTTTTTTGAAGTCTTCCCCATTCTCCCCTGTTGCAGGCTGAAAGAATGAGGGTCATGATCAACTCAGTATACCACTGGAGGCTTTATAAGTAAAGAGCAAACTGTTCTCACAAATGCAGAATGTTAGCAAACTGACAAACTGCGTCTGCCGTCCAGAAGAAATGCTGAGGGCAGTCACAACCCAGGCACAAGTGTTTCTTTTTTTTTTTTTTAGGGCACATCTGAAGCCTGTTAGCAATAATATGAACCTGTTTTTTTTTTTGCAGCTGACAAATCATTACCTCTTCCTCCCTGTTCTTTCTTTTTTTTTTTTATGAAGGGCTGAAGAAGACTGGGGTGGCTGCCTTTGCCCATTTTTTTTTTTGTGCTCTCTTCTTCCCCTGGCCCCTTCCTTTAAAACAGTTTTTTTTTTTTTTTCTGCATTTGTCCTCCTTCGTTCAGTCCTGTAGTGACTGCCACACTCCCCAGTTAGAATTAACTGTTCCTTCCAAGCACTGCCATGGCATTTTTTTTTTTTCTACCTCTCCCTTCTCATAGGTCACAAACCTTGAGAACAGTTTTTTTTTTTTTATTCATCTCTGACTGACTATCCAGCAGAACTCTCTAGACATTTCAGTTTCTTTATCAATGTTCATTCCATGACAAATTTCTGGGAGAGGTTTTTTTTTTTGAACCAGCATAACCAGCAAAGAAAGGACTATCCTGGAACTTTTTTTTTTTTTGCCCTTTCCTATGTGTAGCATTTTGGAAGTATAATAAACTTTTTTTTTTTTCAGAAATGCTGAGCCCTTCCATTTGGGCTTGCTATCAGATTTTTTTTTTTGTTTGACAGAGAACACAAATTCACTTTCCAGCTGCATTAGTGAGAAATTTCTATTGCTTATAAAAATAAATCAATTTCAAAATATGATGAATTTTTTTTTTTTATTAATCTTAAATTTTGTAACTGGAGACATCAAGCTTTTTTTTTTTTTTTTCTGTAAGTTCAAAGAAACACAGAGTAAGAAATACTACACAACAGCTACCATGGCTGAGAGGTGAGTGTGAGGCATGCACAGGAGGGGTTCTTTTTTTTTTTAGATCCTAAACACTTGCAGAAACATGTTCTTTAAAAGAAGAGATTACAAATGTGCAAAATACCCTAGACATCATATGTCTCACACCCCAAGTTTTTTTTTTTCTTAGTACCAGGCTTTTTGCTTGTTTGTTTGTTTTGATCTTTTTTTTTTTTAAGCCCCTATATTTATCAGCTACCTTCATCATCTTTAGAAACTTCACTACATTTCACTAGTCCAACATGACTGATAGTCTCTATAGACAAGTTTTTTTTTTTAATATCTTGAATTCATAACAAACATAAGATTTTTTAAAACTTTTTTTTTTTTAATCTATACAAGCACTTGAGTTGTTCACAAGGAAAATACTTTTTTTTTTTGAAGAGAAGAGATCTAACATGTGCTGAGTATCTGCTACTGGCAGGATACTCTTCTGGACTCCTTTATGTTGACTATTTAATTCCCACGGCATTTTTTTTTTTCAAGCCCTCACATTCTAAATAAGAAAACTAAAGCACAGAGTTTTTTTTTTTCAAAGAAACACAACTGAAAAGTAAAAAGCTGGGATTTGAATTTTTTTTTTTTTGTTCCAAAGTTCATATTCCCAACTACCACAAATCGGATTTTTTTTTTTTGATGTCTCAGCAGAAGAAAGTGATGGACGGCTTCTGCATATTTTTTTTTTTATTGTGCTGCTTTCCAACTTCTGACAATGTAAATTTACAATTTTTTTTTTTAGTAAAGAAACTTGTACTATTTTTCAAAAGGTGGTAAAGATTTTTTTTTTTGAGAATGGTCTATAAAGTTAGTATTCTAAAACTAATGCAATTTTTTTTTTTTATAGATTAAATAAAAATAAAAACATTTTCTTGCTATACTTTTTTTTTTTTTAGCATAAAAGTAGCTTGCTGTCATAATTTTTTTCTTTTCTTTTTTTTTTTTTTTTTTTTTGAGATGGGCTCTCACTCTGTCATCCAGGCTTTTTTTTTTTTGTGCAATTATAGCTCACTGTAGCCTCTACCTCCTGGGCTCTTTTTTTTTTTCTGCCTCTATCACGCAAGTAGCTGGGGCTGTATAAGCATGTTTTTTTTTTTGGTTAATTTCTGTATTCTTTGTAGAGATGGAGTTTTGTCATGTTACCTAGGCTGGTCTCAAACTCCAAAGATTAAGTGATGCACCTGTCTGTTTTTTTTTTTTGTTGGGATTATAGGCGTAAACCACTGCGTCTGGCCTGTCTTTTTTTTTTTATGCCAACATACTACTATTGTTGCAAATCTCACTGATTTATTTTTTTTTTTCAAAGAGAAAGAAAGAAAAAATCTCAGATGCTCATGTCATTTTTTTTTTTTCTTTCCTTCAATTGGGACATGTTTGTGTTTCAAGTACAGTTTTTTTTTTTTTAGTGAACTTTTTCCAAGTCTACTATGGACTACTTGAAGAACTATTTAGTTCTTGAGAGTTCCAAAGACATTAAGTTTTACTAAAATTACATTTTTTTTTTTAGCAACTCTAAACTACTACGCATAAATCTTCCTTTCAAAGTTTTTTTTTTTACAGTACTTCAATGACAGTGATTTTGTGCTAAAAAGTTAATTTTTTTTTTTTGTGGGAAAGAGATTAGTTAGGTTAATCTTTATT